AAAAAACGTGAACAAGTAAATCGGGCAACCTTTTATTGCTCAGGTTTACGCGTACTTTATTTTGATGTACTAGATAATGGTGGGGCTCCATCTTTTAAAGAGGAGGAGATGTACCGAGGTTTAAGCCTAACGCTTTGCTACGCGTTGACGTGACCGCGACACGTAGTTATCTTAGGAGGTCGCGGCGCGTCAATCGGTCTCTTCTTGTGTCAACCTCCTAGTGAAATACATGTGCGTGTCCCTGATCGTGTTTCACTGACTCTAAGACTGATACACATAAGACCAACTTTTTCTAACTTTTTCACATGCGCTACTTGGCGTCTACGGGTTGCGGACTTTTAAGTACAGTTTGCTCAGTTCTGTATCATGCACAGATTATTAGATTATATTATTATTGTTTTAAGCAGATTATACAGGCGCGAAATATTATCAATGTATTTGGGTACCTTTTCAACGAGTTCATCATTAGGATATGGAGAGGCCTTCTATATAGGCTGGATAAAGCTAAGAACGTATTGTGCTTCATTCTTTTAAGCTACGAGCTACGAGCCGAAGGGTCATATCCGCTTAGCAACAGAGGCGAGTGGACTTAAATTTGGATATCATTATTTGATAAAGCAAACCCATGCTATTTTTGTGTTAAACATGTATTATATCACTAGCATTTTGTTAGCGGAGAATTTCATACACATGCTTCCTAGCTGCTATCGCCGTATTTTATATGAAATCTAGAATTGATTTTTATGGGCTTTTAAAAATGTTTGATGTCATCCCCAGCGTCAAAGAGCTCTATGTACATAATGAATTGGCTCCATGCCAGATTTGTTAAGCAAACTTCAGTTTTCTTCTTAGATGATTCCTAGGGTAGGATGAAAATGAGCCTAGAAAGTAACAGTTTCGCGCAAGTGTCGCAACGAGGTCGCATAAATTAAGCTTTTCTATAAAACAGTTCGTAAAATTGCCTAACAACAGACATTACTTATGAGGGCTTGTCTTAGGGCTGCCGCCGCTCTCTGTCATAGTCCAAATTAGATTTTCATTGCCAAAGTTTGCCTCATTAGAAAAGTGATTTTGTTTCTGTGCCACGTGATGGCAACACTTTTTCCATAGGCAGTAATTGCGTGTAGCGTTTGTTGTTGAGCCGTTTGGCAACCGTGCCATGTCGTTTCTATCTGAGCTTATCTTGCATATTCGATCTCAACTTATTGCCTTTTGATTTCGGCTCCACTTTGGCTCTTGATTCCAGTTTTGATTATCATAGCTGCTAATAGTTGCAATTTGAAATTTTCTCTCTATTCCAACGCGACACTCAAACAGCGCATGATACTATCACTGAGCAGACTTCACTCATTAAAATAACTTCCTCAATCATCCTGCAATTTGTTACCGTTAAGCGTCCCAGGAAATTCAAAGAACTTCAGTCTCAGTTCTTTAAAATGCCGAGATCGTCCTTAGCTTCCCTAAGTCAAGTTCTTTTTGGAATACCATCACACTATTTCTGAAAATTTTCTGCAAAAAGATTAATTACATTACTTTGTCGGCTTGACTGCAATACCATTTTTTATATCTCCATCATGCAATAACGCGACAATAACGCGCTCACGTTTACAATGTCTTAATATTGTCATAAGCATCCACGAGTATGCAGGAAGGACTCATCAACGATCAGTTGTTCTCATGCGTACAGTGAAATTCGAAAATACCGAGCAGCCGGCAAATCAAAACTTTATTAATCAAGGAAATTTCGGGACGTTATTGACTATACATCGACTATCGGGACTTAATTCGTGGCCGACTTTTTTAGCGGCCGACTATCAAAGTTTCATGAAATTAAGTGCTTTTCAGTACTCATATTGTTATGATCGCCATACCGTAAAATAATTATCTGTTTATTTGACTCTGTATTTATCTTTGCTACTCTGAAGTTTTCTGAGCTCATCCTTAATTTTCGTAATTTGTTTTGATAGCATTTTTCACTTAATTAGTAGTCATACTTATGAACTAAGCAAATGGTTCTTTCAAGAAGGACGTCTTGTTAGGTAGTGTCAGGTCCTTTGCTACTTCGTAGCTGGACCTGAGGCTACTATGGCCTTGAGTACTTAATTAAGTCCTGAGGGTTCAGTGTAGTCTTGAATATCGTCCTACTCTTAGACTGACGGCAGGAAAAACAAGCCCACAAAAACATACTCAAGATCACCAAAAACAACACTTAGCCCTCTCTCCAACATCATCTGCAACGCAAAACCCACCAGCTTGGTTCTTGTCACTACTTCCTTTACTTCTCAAACTCCTACTGGCATCCTCGCTAAGCGCCAAAATAGAATGCTTCATAGAATTAGGAACTAAACTACAAATAGAACCAACCATTTCCTCGCTACTCACAGAACTAGGTCTCACCTCCCTTTCACATTCACAATGACTCTCAAGCTCTTACAATGGAATGTCCGCAGCTTTAGGTCAAACATCCCATTTATCCAAACAGCCCTAGACAACCACACACCAGATGTTCTATGCATGCAGGAAACCAATGTACCCCCCACTCACCCACTTACCCTCTTACATCGCTTGCCGGTCACAAGATCAGACCGACTACTGGGCGGAGGTGGAACATCTATTCACATCTTTAACAATGTTCCAACGAAAACTATAGCTCTGCCACCACATATTGAAGCCTGTGCCACACGCATGTACCTCCCTTCTCATCAACTTACCATATGCTCACTGTACCTTCCTCCTTGCGCTGACAACAATACCCTGTTCTCCAACTTGAATGAACTATACCAGACACTGCCTACTCCCTTCATCATATGCGCAGATGCAAATGCACACCATCAGTCATAGGGATCTACATATGCAAACAAACGTGGACGGCTTATAGCAAAGTGGCTCCAAAGTAACAACCTCACTCTTATAAATACAGGAGCACCCACCCACATCAGCTCAGGTGGGGCACTCACGCACATAGACCTTACCATCACCACTCCAACCCTAGCCCCTTCGCTAACATGGGAACCAGCCCCTGACCCTTACCATAGCGACCACCTCCCCCTCAAAATAACCGTTAACAACTTAAACCAAATGCTACTTCCCAGGCCCCGATGGATCATCAAGAAAGCAGACTGGACAATATTCCAAAGCAAAGTGGATCTCCCCCAAACATTCCTTTCTCCTTCCGAGGCATGTAGTGCAGTGGAGAGCCGGCTACTCGCAGCGGGTAAGCTGGCGGTCCCCATATCTAGCACCCGCAGAAAGCAAAAACCCACACACTGCTGGTGGACGCCAGAGTGCACTACAACTCTCGGAGCCAAAAGGAAAGCCCTCACTATTTACCGACGAAAACCAGGCAACATACAACTGTGGATAAACTACAAACGAGCAGCCGCTCTATTCCGACATACAATCTTGCAGGAAAAAAAGAAAGCTGGACAGAATTCATTAAATCACTGAGAAGCACAACAACAACATCTGAAATCTGGAACAAAATCCGGCGACTCAGGACTTCACCCCCACCCGCAGCCATCCTACTAAGCGTAGGGGACAGCATCATCACAGACCCAGTAGAGGTAGCCAACACCCTGGCTAGAGAATTTACCGGACCACTCTCCGCAACCATTCCAACCGCACAAATTCCCAAGATCCAAGCTCTACCACCGAATACAAACTCCACACCCTGGTACAACAAGGACTTCACCCTAACGGACCTAATACGGGCAATAAACACAACACGACCATCTGCACCAGGTCCTGATACCATACCAGCTTCATTCTTAATTCATCTACCTCACACACAACAAAGACGCCTGCTAGCTTTCTACAACTATATTTGGAAGACAGGAGTCCCACACCAATGGCACCTGGCACACATTCTCCCATTCCTAAAACCGAACAAGCCACCCGCAAATCCATCTTCATACCGCCCCATAGCACTTACAAACAGCCTATGCAAACTACTAGAGAAAATGGTGTGTCACCGACTCAGAAGCTACCTTGAACAAGCTTCACTCATTAACCCAAACCAGAGCGGCTTCCGAACAAGACACTCCACACTAGATGCACTTACACGCCTTGAATCAGATATAAGACTTGGTCTTATCTTGGATAACCCAACCATTGCTGTTTTCTTGGACTTCACCAAAGCATTCGACTCAGTCTGGCATGCTGGATTACTCCACAAACTAGAGAAACTGGGGCTGACCGGCAGAATGATGACATTCATTGAAGGCTTCCTGCAGCACAGACAAATACAAGTGAAATTACAGAATTCACTATCCTCACCACGTCCAGTAACGACAGGTGTTCCACAAGGCTCTGTCCTCAGCCCCATTCTCTTTCTGGTAATGGTAAACGATATCATAATCTCATCTGACATCAAATACTCCCTATTTGCTGACGACTGTGCCCTCTGGAGCACAAAATCCTCCATACCCCTGTGCATTCAATCAATCCAAGGGACTCTCAACAATATAACGGCATGGTCCAATACGTGGAAACTAAAGCTATCAGCACCCAAATCCAAAGTAATGCTTTTTTGCAACCAGAGATCACCACCAACCCCACCACTACTCCTCGCAAACCAACCACTGGACTATGTCAACACTCATCGGTTCCTTGGCATCATTCTGGATCGCAGACTCACCTTTCGCCAGCACATCCTGGAACTGAAAGAAAAGTGTCAACGATCACTTCGACTCCTTACAGTAGTAGCAGCACATAAATGGGGAGCAGACTTTGGCACACTACGTCGGCTCTACATATCACTCATACGGTCAAAACTGGACTATGGCTCATTTCTATTCATCTCAACAGCTCCTACAACATTGATCATGCTTGATAGAATACAATATGCAGCATGTCGCACAATTTTGGGAGCTCTACGATGCACGCAAGTGAAAGCCCTGGAAGCAGAAACAGACCTCCAGCCTCTATCTCTGCGTAGAAGATACCTACTCACATCATACGCCGCCCGTGTCCTGCAAATTGAAAATCATCCCTTACGCAAAATGCTACTAGAATACTACCCATTCAACTTCTACCAGCAGCAAAAAAGACCACTACCTACAATCGGCCTCATTCACCACGAATTCATGTCCCAAAACCTCACATTCTCTTGTGTTCCTGGGCTGACACCCAAAGTCATCTTCCCGATAATAACACCCACCATAGATCTTACCCTTCACACCTCAAAGAAACCTGACCTTCCTCCTGAAGCATGGCAAGCATGCTGTGCAGATATCCTGGACCAGTACCCTTCCCACACCCCTGTGTATTGTGATGGATCCAAGACGACTGAGCTAACAGCTATAGGTGTCTGGAGTGCCTCCTTCACCCTCAAAGCTCGTCTCAACAAAAATAACAATATTCTCACTGCTGAACTCTTTGCCATCTTCTATGCACTAAAGTTCCTGGAAGCCAGGGAGGGCTCCTTCATAATACTTTCTGACTCCCTCAGCTCCCTCAGAGCTCTACAACATATACACTCCAAGTCGCACTTCCTAGTCCTCAAAATCACCCATCTTCTATCCACATCACAAAACAAATTCATCCTAGCTTGGGTTCCATCCCACATGGGCATCAAAGGCAATGAACTAGCAGATAAGGTGGCACGAGAAGCTCTTTCACTGCCTCAAACTGTGGCAACTTTACATTCAGACCGCGAACTTAGGAGCATGATCGCAGCGCACTTCCATGCTCAGTGGCAGCAGCAGTGGAACAATTCTACATGCAGACTTCGATTGTACAAAAACAACATAGGGCAATCTACGTACCTATCTATTCAACGCACCCATCAAGTGCCGCTCACCAGAATTCGCTTAGGAGCAACCAAACTAACACATCTGCACCTGTTCACTGGGGGACAGCCAGCTCGCTGCACTCCCTGCCAAACAAACTGGTCTACCTTGCATCTTCTTCTTGAATGCCCACTACTGCGACAGTCACGGCTGACACTGAGGCAGGAGTGCCAGAGATCAGGGTGGCCCTTCACCCTGGAAGCCCTTCTGAGGGATGATTTCCCATCAGAGGTGCTGATCGACTTCCTGACCGAAACCGGATTCCTGAATCAATTATAAACCAGTGACCCAACCGCACTGATCAAGGCACCTATGCCCATTGTAGGCTGGTGCTGAAGAAATCAAGAAATCAAGAAATCCTTAATTAAGACTGAAAAGAAGAAGTAAGTAAATTGAGTGGGCTGAGAAATAGGCTGAAGTGTATTGAAAATTGACTAAGTGAAATGTAAATAAGGTGTAATGAATAATTCAAATATAAAAAGGTGTAAATAACTTATCATTCAATTACTATGGAGTAAAATAATCTCATTCATCTTGTGAAGTGTCAAATTTGATGAATTGGACGTAGAAGCGTTAAACTTGAGACTAGTTTAGTAGTTACTGCATACGTGAGTATTTTTTAGGCACGAGAATACTTTTACAATGCGTTTTGTAAGATTCAAATTGGAAGATGCATGCGTTCTTTGTAAATTAGTTATTGCGATTAATCAGCAATGTTGACATGCGAGATAGATATTAAAAAGTGTAGTTTTAAATATTCAGCTTATAAATTATTAATTTACGCTCAAATGACAACAAATTGAACAGTTGATCTATTTCACATGAAGAAAAAGAAGAAATGATCTATGAGAAAAACAGTTGAAGTTTCCTTTCAAATCTCAAGGAATTAAAGTGCGACATTTCTTTTGGTGAAAGTTTGGTATCCACCCCAGGATTTTACGCGAGCTGCCTTGCTTTCTTTGTGGTCACGTTTAAGGGGTGCGTGTTTGATGCCAGCAATGCCAATCATCCTGAATATTTCACGTTCATTTCTGTAGGCAAACGTGGAAAACGCCATATAGTAGCTTAGGTATTTAATGCTTTTAACGCAGGCATTAAAATAAAGCATTTAATGTATGCATTATAAATGCCTCTGAGCAGTAGGTCTACTGCTTAAACGAGTCCACCGCTTTATCTCCATCTGGATAAACGAACGGATAATTGTCGTGCCCTCAAACTAATCCCAGACTCTGCAAGTAATTTAATCTAATCAGACCTGATGGACAGTTAGCAGCTTCCGGATAATGAAGATCGGCGAAAAGTCTAACGAGGCGTTTCTTTTTTCTTTTTCTACCAATCAAAATGGAGACGTTATAAGGAATAAAAAACTGGAAATAGCGTAATGAGGTATGTAGTAACTATGATGTAATGAGGTATATAATATCAATGAATCATTTTAATCTGAATGACAGGTTATTTTGACGGTTTCTTTTAATTTACAGTTGATTTTGATGTCAGTTGTTGGCTGCTAACATCCTTTTATTTCGTTTAGTTTACGGTCGTAATATTAGCTATTTGTACGAGATTAGTATTTGTGTTTTGAATTTTTAATGGGGATCAGAAGCTTGGTTTATTTGGTTCCGGGCTTTCATTCTAGATTATAACCTTGCTGCTGGATTAGGGCATAGCATCTTCAGTTAAAATTTGATGAATTTGGTTTTCTAATTTGACCTTCTATTTTCCCTATTGAATATATTGAAGTTATAATATTTCCCTATTTCTAGTTTCTAATTTCCCTATTGAAGGCTACTAGAAATCTCAAATGATCAGATATACAAATATTTCATTAATTTTTTTATTCATATGATTATACGAGCTAATTATTAAAAAAAACGAATATAACCCGACAAGGAGGCAGTGCATTCCAAACCCGAGAAGCCAACGCTAAAAAAATCCAGAAAAGCAGGTTGGCTGCAATCCTTTGCCTAGTGTCCTTCTGGCTTCGCTGGGATGAGGTTGATGGCGCTCATTGTTCTGGTGCCGGCATCATTGTTGTGCCTGACAATGTTTTTAGGTAATATTAGTGGGCAGTGGAAGAGTTCTTATACATTAATGTTAGTTTTAAGGGAAAATTGAGTTTTATAATAAAATTTGCGACCATTTTAGTGCTTACGTTTCCATTTGAAAGAAAATGCCACCACGAGAACGTCATACATTTTTTTGCATAATAAAGAGATTAATTCAGCACTCAACTAAGATATTTTCTCCTATATTAATGATTTTAGAATTTAGGTGCCTTTCTTTGGTTTATTTCTTTGAAAGTGCAAGTCTGGCATGCAGCGTCCAAATTAACCTTTTCATCATCTAAGAAAATCTAACGCTCAGAAAATGTATTGATCATATTGTCCTTATCTTGACACACATTCCTACCCATAGCTTGAGCAGAGAGCGGACGTAGTACTTGGCCTTCTTGGTTGGCCAAAGTGTGTCAGGACGATGCTATATTTTACCTAAACAAGGTCAAAAAATGCATCGATATATGTACAATGATCCTCTAATATATCCTATGCAATTTAGCTCTAGTTTGCCCTTAATTAATATAAATATTATAGGATAAATTCATTGTTTTGCTGCGTTGTTACGCAGTCAACATTCCCTGAAAAAATTAACATCAATCGAACATTTTTCACAGCGCTAGCAAGCAATAATAATCGGGCACCAGAAGCCGACCCCGTGAATGGCCGGGCACCCATGTCCCCTTCCTTTCACCCTACCTTGCTCCCTTCCATGCCCCCTGCCTCGCCCCCTTCCCTGCCCCCTATCCTTGCCCCCTTCCCTCGCTCCAAATTTGGCTGCAAACTTCACCTGGAATGGCACCTGCCACAACAGGTGCGGCGATGACAGGTTGGCTGGTGGCTGCAGGTGTGATGTGGCCTGCACTTCTGACACCTGTTGCAGGTTAGCAATTTATTGTAAATACTTCTTTAATAACACTTGAACGTTTTTAATGATATATAGTCACCTGTAAAATAATTTCAATAATATAGCTACATGAATGTTAATTAGGGTGAAACTACATTGCATAAAAAGCCCAATTGGGCTTTTTTATAGTTAAATTGTATTAAATTATTGAACAATTTTTTAATAGTATTTTCTTGATTAATTTCCAGAATACGCAAATTGCGCCAGAAATATTAATAGTATATGCGTACAAATATTAACTATAGATTATCCAGTATTTTCGGCAGAACTACCTGGAGCTTATCGTCATCATAATGAAATATAAGCTCTGAACAAACGTTCTATAGAAATTGATGTATACTTTGTTGTGGAACAGATGAAAGAAAAGTAAAAAAAAGCTTCAAGCTGAAGTTTAATTTTTAATCGTTAGAGAAAAACATTTAGCTTTCCGACATTTCCGTTGACTTTGGATCTTGTGTTTTCTACGGCAAATAAATTTAATTAAGGACAAACATAGGTAATTTAACCTAAAATATTTTGATATTTACTAGTAAGTATTGTTGTTAGGCAACATTTTCATGTATTCTCTAGTGTATGAAATTAAATTAGATTTAGCGTCAAGTTCTTTCAAGTTTCACATAATGATCAGAAATATACGAGTCAAGGAAATCTAAGTCTCAAAAATTTGCGTTCCGAACTATACTCCTCAAAAATAAATTTTAATCACGCTACTTTTCCCTTTGTATTCCGTTTATTCACTGCATTATTTAGTGAAATTAGGATCTTGAAAGCTGATAATTGAGTTTGATTATCAATTTCGGTCACGTTACAGTGACTTGGCATGTGCGCGCTTACATAAATATTTAATTGGATTTAGTTAATTGTTTGATTTATTTTAATTTTTATTCGATTTAATCTAATTTTTATTTTATTTATTAAAATTCAATTCAATTTAATTTGAATTAATCAACAGTTCAATAATTAGTTTTGGTTGCGTTAACGCGACTACGCAAGTGCTTGATTTCATTTATAATTCAATTTTATTTTATATGATATATTTTAATATATATTTAAAACATCTTTATTTAATTTATTTGAATTAAGTTTCGATCCACTATTTTATTAATAATTTTGATCACGTTACAGTGACTACGTGAGTGCGTGCTTTTCATGCGAGAACCGATGCACGCAATCCGTGCGTGTCGGCGCTCCGTGTCAGTGCGATTCAAGATGCGGTGGCAGTCTTCGTGCACCTGACTGCTGCACGGACTACACAGCTGCATGCAGTACGTGGTGTAGTGCTGCTTGATGTACGTGGTATACCTTGCACTGTGCGCTTGCCCACCTGTGTGGTATACATGTGTTCTCCACATACCACGGACGATCCTGTTTGTCAAAGTTATTGGAGCACCACGACCATCGTCTTGCAGCTCTAATGGATGAGGGAGCTGGAGTAGACCTATTAAAATAGAATATAATAGAAGTGTTGGCATTGAAGAAATAGGCCCATGGCCTGTTGTCGGTTCTTATACTTTTCGTGACTTGAATTCACAAGGGATCCGGCCTTTGGAACCCGATCTTTCCATAACTGACGATTGTTGAGAGCGCTGCTGGTCTTATTGAAAGGCCCGTGAGGTGCAAGGCATTTATAGACTGTACATATGTTCCTGCATAGCTTCGTCTAGTCAGTATTGGTCTTTACTAAAGCATTTGACAAAGTTGACCGCGGCGTACTATTCAGAAAACTATGACTGCTGGGGGTAGGAGGATGCTTGTTAGCGTGGATTCACAACTTTTTCTAATTGGCAGTGTACAATCTGTCGCAATTGAAAACTCTAAATTGAGAGAAGCGAGTGCGAAAAACGAGGGTGGAAAGCGGAGTGCCGCAGAGCTCGGTGCTCATGGCCCGATCCTCTTCCTCATCCACATCGTTAACATTGACTCGGAACTTACACATGCATCTACATCGTCATTTGCGGACGATACAAGGCGACTTGGCCCGTACGAAGCTATAATCGTCGACAATCTACGATTGGGACTCTAGTGAATAACCTGTATTTCGAAGGAATCTATTTAGAAGTAATGATATACAAAGTTATATACTGATTTTAGGATGCTGCACCGCTACTTGGTATCGGACACAGTAGTCAAGGAGAAGTAACTTGTTCGTGATCTCGGAATTTTGATGACCAAAGCTACGTTTAATGAAAACGTTGCGGCAATAGTTGCGAAAGGCAGGCAACAGATGGAGCGGATCTGGTTGGTATTTAGAACAAGAGTATTTACACTTTTTCGAGTCTTCATGCTCCCTATTCTGTAGTACTGCTGCTATCTTTGGGCGCCTCTCAAGCCGGGTGTGATGTGGCAATGGGATGCAGTTCAGATGATCTTCACGTTCAGGATCAGGGGTACTAGGGTACTTCGCTATTGGGGCTGGTTGGAGCATCTGAGACTGTATCCACCGGAGAGGAGAGGGGAAATGTATATCATACAGTACACTTGTATAAAAGATAACTGGACTGGCCCCAACCTGGCATGTGAGACCTTTAGAATAGTGATATCACAACCAAAGGAGTTATTGATTTTACTTGATACGCCCATTTAACAACCGAGCTGCGGTCACAGTTCAGATTCTTTGGGAGCTTTGGGAGGGATCTCCCTCCTTAGCGGACCCGAGGCTGTTCAATGCCTAAATGAAGGAGCTGAGAGGAGGGACGTAACGTATCGCTTCGTAATGTATCGTGACATGCGCATCGTGACGTAACGTATCGTGACATACGCATCGTGACGTAACGTATCGCTACGTAACGTATCGTGGCATACGCATCGTGACGTAACGTATCGCTACGTAACGTATCGTGACGTAACGCATCGTGACGTAACGCATCGTGACGTAACGTATCACGCAACGTATCGCGACGCAACGTATCGTGACGTAACGTATCGTGACGTAGCGTATCGCGACGCAACGTATCGCGACGCAACGTATCGTGACGTAAAGTATCGTGACGTAGCGTATCGCGACGAAACGTATCGTGACGTAGCGTATCGCGACGCAACGTATCGTGACGTAACGTATCGTGACGCAACGTATCGTGACGTAACGTATCGTGACGTAACGTATCGTGACGTAACTTATTGAGACGTAACGTATCGCGACATAAAATATAGTGATGTAATGTTTCGTGACGCAACGTATCGTGACGCAACGTATCGTGATGTAGCGTATTGTGACGCAACGTATTGTGACGCAACGTATCGTGACGCAACGTATCGTGACGTTACGTATCGTGACGTAGCGTATCGCGACGCAACGTATCGTGACGTAGCGTATCGCGACGCAACGTATCGTGACGTAGCGTATCGCGACGCAACGTATCGTGACGCAACGTATCGTGACGTAGCGTATCGCGACGTAACGTATCGTGATGAAACGTATCGCGATGCGACGTATCGCGACCTAAGTTATAGCTATGTAATGTATCGCGATGTAACGTAGCGTGATGCAACGTATCGCGACACAAAGTATCACGACGTAGCTCATAGATATGTAACGTATCGCGAGGTAACTTATAGCTAAAAAACGTATAGACGTAACTATACGCTATGCTAAGAATTATAACTAAGTAACGTATCACGACGTAGCTTAATTATAGCTATGTAACGTATCACGACGTAGCTTACAGCTATGTAACGTACGTATCGTGACGTAACATATCGCGACGTAACGTATCGTGATGCAACGTAACGTATCGTGATGTAACGTGTCGCGACGCAACGGATCGCGACGCAACGGATCGCGACGCAACGGATCGCGACGCAACGTATCGCGACGCAACGTATCGCGACGCAACGTATCGCGACGCAGCGTATCGCAACGTAACGTTTCGCAACGTAACGTATTGCAATGCAACGTATCGCTACGTAACGTATCGCGACGTAACCTATTGCAACGCAACGTATCATGACGTAACGTATCGCGACGTAACGTATCGCGACGTAACGTATCGCAGCGCAACGTATCGCAACGCAACGTATCGCGACGTAACGCATCGCGATGTAATACATCGCAATGTAACGTATCGCGACGTAACGCATCAAAATGTAACGTATCGCTATGTAACGTATCGCTATGTAACGTATCGCTATGTAACGTATCGCTATGTAACGTATCGCTATGTAACGCATCGTTCTTTCGATTCCTGATTACTGTTCAACCAGTAACGCACGGCAGCGTACAATGTGTACTTTTCTACTGACTCTATTTTTAATAATGCATTAAAAGTAATTTTTCTTACTTCACCAATTGTCCTGTGAAGCCATCATACTGTAAGCTATAGTATACATTAGTATAGTCATAGTATAGAATTCTATATATGTATACTATTTTTAGTTGTCTAAGTATATGTTTCGGACGTAGCAGTCCCAGGCCACGATGGATCGCCGCCTCTGATTATCGCTCATCCGCATCATTTGGGCCACCTGATGCTGATGCTGGCCCAATCTATGTTTTGTGACTCTGACCGACAAAATTTACACTCTTTGAATGCCGTTCACTTAAAGTGATTATTAATTTTCTAAAATGATTTTATAATAGTTGGCTTTCTAAAGGTAAACACAGAATAAATGTGATACAATTTTTGCAGCCAGGTTATGGGATATCTGAAAAATTGTAAACAAAAAATTTTAAACCAATTTCTTCCTTCATTCGAGATATTAAATTTGTTTTTATTTTGCATTTCTAGCAGGTAGACAGAAAACTGTCAGCTTTGTGTCTGACGGTGACATCAGGCAGTTGACGGAGGAACTAGCAGACTTAGATGTCAACAACGTCGCCAAGTTCATCACAGTCAACATCCAGCGTCGAACTACGATGCACGACCGAGATGATGTCTCTGCTTTACCGTGAGTATGAGCTGCATAATAAAAATTATACTCGTAATTCTTATTATCAGCCTATTCAATAATCGTTCGAAAGATCATATCATGAAAATATAATGTGCTACAAAATTAAACACTGTCACATAAATGATATAGTTATGATATTAAAGGAGATGAAAACAATTTATTGGAAGATTTACTTGAAATATTTTTACTTAAATTATGCAAGAATTAGTAACTAAATGTAATTGCTCGTGGCTCAAATAAACTTCAAGTATCGTGTTGAATTAGCAATATTTCATGTTCATGACATTTACCAATTATTAAATTCCCATGGAAATTTTTCTTCCAAACTTGAAGGAAATGTTCATCTATGCACAAATGGAAATGATGAATAATCATGGTACTCTTTTTAATGCGCATTGATTAAGTTAATTAATCAAATGACCTATTAAAATATGTAAATTGTTTTTAAATTTCAGACTTTTCAACTATGTTGCTTCTGATGCTTTTAAGCCCGAAACCATCAGACGCTTCGAGGCCCTGACGGACAATTATTTTTTGGAGGTAAAATTTAACGGGGCATTCAAGACTCAAACGCTCATGTCTCTTCCTTGCATGAAATCTACCGTTAATTATTATAAATTCAAAATTTAGCAATGAAGTATCGTAATTCTTTTCAGTTAAAAATTTTTACAAGCTCTTTAATTTTTAATTAAAAAACAGAATATAACATGTTCTCGGTCCTAATCAAAACTCTTACTAATAAATCCGCATCATTAGTATTAAAAACAGTTTTTTGTAACTACCAGGACCAAATTTAGTATCTAATTTGCATGAAAATTACTCATTTACGGTAATTAATGCAGAGTATGTTCCGTGAAAGGTTACATAGAAATTTTCATAATCCACGGTTTACGGGATGCGGGAAAATTATCTTAGGTGGGCGCGAGTAGAAAATCATTTATATTAACTAGTCAAGAGTACTCATGTTTGAAATTCAAACCCGCATGTTATTAATCGTTTATTGAATAAAAAGAATACTCGTCGTCATGTTTAAGGTAACAGAAGAAGAAGACGCCGTGCTGGAGGAACAGGCTGAAGTGACAGCTTTTTTGGACGCTGTTGTCAACACCTCCGTGATGGAAGCTCTGGAGCGGTTCCTGGTCGATCGCGGTACGAGCGTTAACGACTAAAATGTATCCAATTTTTCATTCCATCCCATTTATGTTGCCAACTGGGGGAATGTCTGATATGTATTGAATTTCTAATGCCTATGTTTGCCGATTGTGTTTGTCTAGCGCTTGCTATTGCTAGGCAGATTACTTATGGGGATTTGAGTGCCTTGAGACGAGTTGTAGAACCGGACAGTTGCTATCGCGCCCATCTCATTCGGCTGTGCGCGCTCACGCCGAGCAGTGTGATGTCCCTATTTCTGACAGTGACTTTAGGGTGTTAGCTTCCACCTCCGGGACTTCCGATTTGCGCATTTTAGAGTCGCTGTACATCTTTAAACTTAGGCCCAGTTTGAATTCAGCTGCTAGCTCCTGTCCCTTTGAAATTGTTAATAGATAGTTCTTTTTTTTTGCTCCGTCTATTACTTGTAAATTTAGGTTTTTAATTTCGTTCAGTGCTTTCAATGTATTAATTTGTGACTTCTGATTTGTGATTCTAGATTCTACGAACTGACGATGGAGCTGGTCTCCGAAAAGTTTTCTATAAAGATATGAATTTTTGTGGACTTTTCTTTGCTTTCAAATTCTTAATAAAATAATTAAGGAATTTATTTACCTAAGTGTCAAATAATTATCTCAGTATCCGTAAATAATGAAAATTATATGTCTTTATGTAAATAATTGAAATTATATCAGTATACGTTGATAATTTAAATTATCTCGGTACACGTCAATAATTCAAATAATCTAAGTAACCGTAAATAATAGAAATTATATAAGTTCTTGTCTATGATTTAAATTATCTCATTATCAGTAGATAAAACAAATTATGTAAGTATACGTTGATGATTCAAATTGTCTCATCTCAGTATAAGTTAATAAATTAAACTATCTCAGTAGCCGCAAATAATTGAAATATATCAGTTTACGTAATAATTTAAAATATTTCACTTAATGTTAATAATTGAAAATATATCTGTTTACGTTAATAGTTTAAAATATTTCGGCTAATGTTAATAATTGAAGGCCTTATATCATCAGATCTGATCAATGGAACGCTGCGTAGCAACTTGGAGCGCATTTGGTTCACCGTTTACTCTAGATATGGAACTGTCCTCGGCACGTCCGGTGAGCACAAATCTTGAATTTCTTAGTTATTGTTGCATGAATTTACTCATCTTTTTTATTTGTTATAGCTGCATGACTGAAAAACTTGATACATCCTAATTGATTTTCGCATGATGAATAGTTTCCAACTCTAATTTAATAGTTGAACAATTACTCTTAATCTATTTAATGCAATACAATTCTTGACGAGTATGAAGAAACGTATACATAACAAAAAGAAAAAAGATCGAACCGACAAAAAAGGATAAGTACCTAACTATTAATAATTTAACATTCTGTCAAACTCATAAGTAAACGAGCGTTAACTGAATATAACTATCCATTATTAATTTTTTTATACCATGTTAAGAATGTATATGCAGCTGATAAATTAAATTAAAGATAAAGGTATGCTAAAGAATTAAACATGCATGGGCAGGTTTTGAACACGTTTTCATTGGTGAGCTCGACGCTGGGACGGTAGGAGGCTTCCACAACTGGATTGTCTTCTACCGAGAAGAGCAGAACGGCAGGGTCGACTATCAGGGCAACATACACTTGGCTAATCTCTCCTCTTCGGTGAGAATGAGTTGCACCAAAATATTCTGAAAGCCATTACGAGACTTGGATAATTTACTAATTGTTTCACTTGAAAAGTTGAGATTTAAAATATATTAAACAATCCACTTGGCTGATCTCTCCTCTTCGGTGAGAATAAGTTGCACCAAAAATATTGTGAAAGCCATTACGAGGCTTGGATAATTTGCTGATTGTTTAATTTGAAAAGTTGAGATATAAAATTTATTGAAAAATCCACTTTGAAATCTTTCCTCTTCGATGAGAATAGGTTGCAGTAAAATATTCTAAAAGCCATTACGAGGCTTGGATAATTTACTTATTGTTTGATTTAAAGAATTGAGATTTAAAATATATTTAAAAATCCACTTGGCTAATCTTTCCTCTTCGATGAGAACAAGTTGCACCAAAATATTTTGAAATCCATTACGAGACTTGGATAATTTACTAATTAATTGTTTGATTTGAAAAGTTGAGATTTAAAATATATTAAAAAATCCACTTGGATAGTCTTTCCTCGTCGGCGAGAACAAGTTGCACCAAAATATTCTGAAAGCCATTAAGAGACCTGGATAATTTACTTATTGTTTGATTTAATAAGTTGAGTTTGAAATATATTAAAAAGTATATACAATTAATTCAGTCTTCACGGCTTACAAATATGTAATCAAACACTTTTTAAATTTGATTTTTTCTAAAAAAAAAAACAACTTGAATACAAGGCAGAAGGTACGAAATTCAGAATTATACAAGTATTTTCTTGTCGAAAAATGTATATTAATATACAAGACAGACAATAATTCATACTTCGCTATTTTATATTTCAATTTGTTATAGAAATTTAATTTTTATTATCTCTACTATTCATTCTATACTATTGGATAATATTAACTTCAGTCTTTTCAAGATGATCGAAATAAATGCGAAAGTGATGGTTCAGTGCTTCTCAAAAAACGGAGAATAAGATCATTAATGTATTATATTTAAACATAGTCGTAGACAGCTCTTTGGTTATGTCCATTTTAGTGTCTTCATGATTTTACCAAAAAAGCTATTATTAAAAAATTGATTTTACCAAAAAATGCTTTTCTTAAAGCAAAAAGCTATTATTTTCTGATGTAAGTACGATTCATTATGTATAGAATATTTTCTTTTTTTAGATTTTAAGTACGATTCATTAATATAGAATATTTTCTACTAATATATCTAAATTCTAATTGGTTCAATATGAGTAATGTATTCTAATAAAATTTTAAATGCTTCATTGTACTCAATATTAGTAATATTAATGATATTAATTTACAATAAGAACATATTTAAACATTTTTTTTCAGGGTTATGTACTGACAAATCGTTTCACTTGGCACAACACAAGTAAGCCTATCGGTGGCGGATTTTTTGGACCGTCTCCCGAATTTGAACTAGCGATATTCAGCCTATGTTTCTTCGTGCGGCCAAATACGTTGTGTCCCGTTCAAATTAACGGAGTTCAGCTCGACATTCAAACTTACAACTACTATGGCAAACAATTGGTTGGAACTGCATATCCCATCGTGGTAAGTTACATTTTCCGAATTCTTTCAGTTGCGTAACAATTTTCTTGTAGGCTGACAACCTTACATTTAGTAAGCAAATACTAATTAAGAGTCTCATTAATTGTTATGGTCCATTTCTACCCTACTATTCTTTCGATATTCTTGAATTATATTGACTTCGGTCATTTCAAGATAATCTATATAATTGTGGAAATGATAGTTCAGTGCTTCTCAGAAAACTGAGAGTAAAACAGGCGTTCAATAATTTAAACTTAGAAGTCATGGACAGTTCTATGGTTATGCCCATATTATTCTCTTCAAGATTTTGCGGAAAAATGCTCCTATATGCAAAGTTAACATAGTACTTTACTGAATCTGCTTCGACTGCAATTAACAATTCGAAAGTAGTTATTTACATATGTTAACAACGATCTGTTTGCTCAAATTACTCTGATGATTTCGAGAAACTAAACTTGTTTTTTGTTTCAGACACAAAATATGAACAATTGAACTTCAAGGTTGGAATTTAACCGGCACTAAAAAAAAAGATTAAAATTCGATCGCTCCTCCTGCAAGTTATTGGTTAATCCTATCCTTCGCTTCCAATGCAGTTTACAAGCTACCAGCAGAAGAATATTTAGAGGTGAGCTCACTATTTATTATTATTAATTAGCGCTAAGTCGTATTATTGGGTAAAAGCATAATTACAATCTACATATGGAGTAAAGACGGAGCCAGCTGTTATCTGAAATGTTTTCTGCACTGTTTTGTTGAATTTATTTCACATTTTCATTGACTTTAAATTCCTGGTTAACTTTCAAATTAAGCAAACAAATTCTACAGGTACTTTCATTATAATATTGTACATTTATTTTATTTAGTTATTATATAATTATTATTATTCATTGTAATCTCTATGTTACATGCTCCTTGGCTTACAAAATTTCCATGAATGTACTGAATTTTCAGAAAATAACGACTTTTGAAATGGAGTTATATAAGAAGTCCCTCAGCCGACATTGTAGAAAATATCTACATTCTATCTATCAATGCTGAAAAATTCTTTTTGATTCAACTATATATATTTTTCTGCTTCGGAAGCACAAAAAGATTGCGACTAGTAATTAATTAAAAAGTTGAATTGAATATTTTCGATGATCAAAACAGGATTAAAAATAACTACGAGAAAATTCAACAATTTATTAAATTTTTAATGTACAGTTTCTCTCATATCGGCCAATAAATTTACTCAGGTTAATTTATAATTAAAAGCTTAACAGATATAAACAAGTTAAGTACGTGGAAAAAACCTGGACAACTAAAAACAATAACAGCAAGGCCAACAATTCATACTTATATAAATCGGTTGTATCATCGGTAATAGGTATTAGTTTAGTTTAGTTATATAAATCAGTTGAATAATCGGTAGTAACGCAACTATTTTAAAGAGTAAAGGAATTTTGCAAAGAAATTTCAGATTTATTCGGTTGGGGAAGGCATATGGACACGAAAATTTATTTACAAATAACTTCTTCCCATCTATACAATTTTCATCTTGAAAAATGGATAAGACGTAATTTAAACTTGCAGGAAGGAAAAAGTTGTAGCTAAGTAATTTTGTGCATTCTATTCGCAAGAATTCGATGTAATTCTGTAACGTATTAATGCTGAAGTCATCTGTACCATTATACGACAATATTCATTCCGATCGTATGAAATGAAATATGAAAAATAAGGCAAGATTATATATAGTATTAGAGTGAGATGTTTAGGTTTAAATTAATTCAGCCAATTCCTATAAACGGTTAAGAAGTAAAAACGGTTCTATTAATGAACTTACTGTTATTCTGAATCTGATTTATAACACTCATTGTTATGATTTATTTGAAATTCGCTGAAATATAATGCTTAGAAATTTCATAAGCATACATAGTTCGATTAATAGTGCTAACTCTTCTAAGCAAAATTCTCTTAGCAAGGAAAAAAATTCAAAATTCAAAAAATCGAAATTCAGTCCATAAACGCACTTTTTGCTCTAAGTAATGAAAAATGTACTTTGCTTAAAACCCGATAATTTTCCGAACGCGCACAAAAACGATATTTTTGTTGGAATCTTGCCTTTTATATCAGTTGTGGTTGAGAAATAACACCTTAATGCAATTTTATTAAAAAATAAACTCAAATCGACAATCATCAAATGAATACTGGAGCTTCCTCAGTTAAAACAAATTATTCTCATCATTCTATATTAAGTTAGAAACCTGTAAACTTCACAACGCACTTAGCCTAAGCAAGCCTGCCTTGTCTATACTGAATAAAGTTATAATTTTTTTTCTATTTGTACGAAGCATAAACATTTAACCGTCACACAGCATGCCTATGTATAGGAATATACATTAGGAAGTAGCAGTGCTAACGTATGTCGATCTACGTTATCAAATGGTACATATCTTATCTGTACATTACATAGACGTGGTGAGAATAATATTAATATTATGCCCTAATAACCACAGGATAAAAGTCTCCACCTAAAAGCAAAATACCTTCATAATTATTAGTAGTCATTTATATTTTTTTTTGGACGTCGGGCGGCAATTTCTAACGGAGGAGAAACTGTAAACAGGATTATTCAGCGACAATCAGGATTAGTCTGTATTATGTACATAAATTTTAATTGTTACTCACTACGCTGACTACAGTAGCAGAATAATTTGTTCTTATAATAATTTAAAATTGTGGCCATCATCTTGAACTTTTTCCTTAGCTAGTTTATACTCGAACTATGATGAATAAGTCACACTGAACAGTCGGAAATATTCAATAATTATTAACAATTTTCTTAAAATTTTTTGAATTAAAATTAAAAATTGTCTCAGGATTGAAAATTATGGAACATTTAAATTTCAGTCTTATTGCAACGGCCCAAAATATTGACCCACAATTTTCAACAAAATAATTGGTCCTCAGATGGAACATTAAATGGCAACGTAGAAAAATTCCAGATAAATGATGGTAGAAAAATTAAATTCGATAATAAGGAACAATTAATCCACACAGATGTATAGGTTTTTTTTTTTAATTTTATTATTAATTTCACATCTCCATCTTTTCACCCCAAACACTTTGCACCCTCGATACTCCTGAGAGAAAATCTTCCTGTACAATATTCCTGTAATATACACTTTGTTCCGGTAAATCCGGGCTTATTCCTAAGGAAAGAAGAGATTTTAGGTAAATAAATTCGAAAAATGCTATCTTGACAACTAGAAAATCCAACATTTTTGTCGAGTTTGACCTTATATTTTTGAATTCATATCATGAGGTCCTTGCACTACTTGAATACCGAATAATAGATATTTGTCTCATCTCAATTAAATCTATTAATATAAAACTATGCTCATTTCTAACAATGAATTTTGTTGGCTTTGTATATTTATTAACAAAGGTTCCTCGTAAAATTCAAAATCTGAACACTTGCATTCGATTATTTAATTTAGAATGTTCAATTTGTTCATAAGACTATCTTATGCATGACAGAATTATGCATGACCACTGCTAATGGACTGAACTATTTAAGCAGAATCTTTATTATCATTATTTACCTAAGTAAATAGAAGTTTCAATTCTACACAGAATAAACTCATCCAATGACACCCGCTCCGAGCAGCGCCGTGCAACACCCGCTCTGAGTGGCGCCGTGCAACACCCGCTCTGAGTGGCGCCGTGCAACACCCGCTCCGAGTGGCGCTGTGCAACACCCGCTCCGAGTGGCGCCGTACTACATCCGCTCCGAGTGGCGCCGTGTAACACCCGCTCCGAGTGGCGCCGTGCAACACCCGGTCCGTGTGACGCCATGCAACACCCGCTCCGAGTGGGGCCGTGCAACACCCGGTCCGTGTGACGCCGTACAACATCCGCTCCGAGTGGCGCCGTGTAACACCCGGTCCGTGTGACGCCGTACAACAACGTGTGACGCCGTGCAACACCCGCTCCGAATGGCGCCGTGCAACACCCGGTCCGTGTGACGCCGTGCAACACCCGCTCCGAGTGGCGCCTTGCAACACCCGGTCCGTGTGACGCCGTGCAACACCCGCTCCGAATGGCGCCGTGCAACACCCGGTCCGTGTGACGCCGTGCAACACCCGCTCCTAGTGGCGCCGTGCAACACCGGGTCCGTGTGACGCCGTGCAACACCCGCTCCGAGTGACACCGTGCAACACCCACGCCGTGTGACGCCGTGCAACACCCGCGCCGTGTGTTGCCTAGTGCAACACCCTAGCGACTGCTGGATGGCAGATGTTGCCGCCCGGCGCGGGTGTTGCAAGTCACGGCAGCCGTCACTCGACCCGGACTTTGCCGTCGTCACTCGGCCCGGACGTTGCCGCCGTCATTCGGCCCGGGCGTTGCCGTCGTCACTCGACCCGGGCGTTACCGCCGTCATTTGGCCCGGGCGTTGCTGCCGTCACTCGACCCGAGCGTTGCCGTCGTCACTCGACCCGGGCGTTGCCGTCGTCACTCGACCCGGGCGTTGCTGTCGTCACTCGACCCGGGCGTTGCCGTCGTCACTCGAGCGTTGCCGCCGTCATTCGGCCCGGGCGTTGCTGCCGTCACTCGGCCCGGGCGTTGCCGTCGTCACTCGACCCGGGCGTTGCCGTCGTCACTCGACCCGGGCGTTGCTGTCGTCACTCGACCCGGGCGTTGCCGTCGTCACTCGACCCGGGCGTTGCCGCCGTCATTCGGCCCGGGCGTTGCTGCCGTCACTCGGCCCGGGCGTTGCCGCCGTCATTCGGCCCGGGCGTTGCCGCTGTCACTCGGCCCGGGCGTTGCCGCTGTCACTTGGCCCGGGCGTTGCCGCCGTCACTCGGCCCGGGGGTTGCCGCCGTCACTCGGCCCGGGCGTTGCCGCCGTCACTTTTCCCGGGCGTGGTCGTCGTCACTCGGCCCGGGCGCTATCATCGTCACTTGGCCCGGGCGTTGCCGCCGTCACTCGTCCCGGGTGCTGCCGTCACTTGGCCCGAGCGTTGCCGCCGTCACTCGGCCCCGTCGTCGATTGGCTGCTCGAATTTTGGCACCGTCGCATGCACCGCATCTTCGTGCTGTTCCTTACATAGAGTGTTGGTGCCGGTGCTGAGCGGCATTATTCGCGCCGTAGCTTACACCGAGTGTCAGCCTGCACTTGACCGTGTATTGCCGAGTGAAGCTGCGATCCACCGGACCGAGTGAAGCTATGCATCACCGGACCGAGCGACGCTGCGCCACACCGGACCGAGTGACGCTGTGCACCACCGGGCCACGTGACGCTGCGCACCACCGGGCTGATCATGACGCTACGTACCACCAGGGCGAATGAAGCAGTGAAGCTGCGCACCACCGGACCGATCGTGAAGCTGCGCACCACCGGACCGATCGTGAAGCTGCGCACCACCGAACTGATCGTGAAGCAGGGCACCACCGGGCTGAGTGCTACCTTTTTGAACAGTTAATTATCACCAGAAATTACCAATTAATGAAGGGACGTGCACACTCGGCGAGGGTAGTGCGGGGAGGCGCTATTACATTCGAAGACTTCGCTGAACTCCGGCAGTTGTGCCAAAACTGCGCTCAACCTGTAATAAAAATGTCTCTTAAAAGAGTACTATTAACAAGTAGTGAATAAAAATTCTATATACGCTAAATCATGTTCGGTATTTGTAACACGATTCATGTTCTAACGCGATTTATAAGTTAATTTCAAATGAAATATCCATCTCACCTGGGATGTCCTAGAAGCGACAAATTACATGTTCTTTCAATATCTTCCCTTTGTGTGGTTGTATTCGTGCACAGACTCTGTAAAAAAATAAAATACTGTATTTTAAAGCTCAATATTTTCACAGGCACTAATCAGCGGTTCAGCTTACGAACCTAGACACCAAATTGGGGGATAAGAATTTTACAGCAAATCAATATTTTCATTGAATACTGATGTATAATCAATAACGTATACAAATGTATATTGAATGTAGTGAATTCTAATGTATTTAAAATAAAGTTTATTCTTACCCCCGCGTAAGACAAGAAGAAAATATGTGTGGTATTTAGACGCTCAAAACTCGCGGCTTGAGGCTGGGGTTCACGCTTCATCAGCGACAAGTACGCCTGTACAATAGAAATAAGTTCCATGACAATTTAAGATCCGGGTTCCATATTAATGGTAGCAGTGGATTACCACTGCAATGGATTATTAATGATAGCAGTTCATATATCTTATGTATTGCAAAAATGTAACTCTTTCGTTTTTAACATCACAAATTAGAATTTTTGATGAAGTCAAAAATTAAGCTTTAGCTTTTACCGTATAGAAGCTTCCAGTATTAAAACTTTTGTGCAAAATGCCATGCCTTTGTATTGCCATGCTATTGAATTGTAGATTTGGTTACAAACTTAGGTAAAAGTAAAGCTGCTAAAAATTGAGAGAATTTTACAAATTGAAGGCGTTGAATAGGCAGAACTAAAGGTGTTGATTACTAGGCACTTCTTCTGATACAATAACAAAGTCTGAATATTTCCTATTGAAACGATTTTCTTCTAACAATTTTCAACTTCTAGATTTTTCGTCAGGCTACATCCACTTTTTGTAGGTCTTTCTTCAGGATACACCCACTTCTTGTAGGTCTTTCGTCAGGCTACACCACTTCTAGGTCTCTCATCTGGCTACACCCACTGCTCCAAGGTCTTTCGTCAGGCTACACCCAGTTCTCCTAGGTCTCTCATCAGGCTACACCCACTCCTCCTAGGTCTTTCGTCAGGCTACACCACTCCTAGATCTTTCGTCAGGCTACACCCACTTATCCTAGGTTTTTCGTCAGGCCAACCCACTCCTCCTAGGTCTTTCGTCAGGCTACACCCACTTCTCCTAGGTCTTTCGTCAGACTACACCCAGTTCTCCTAGGTCTCTCATCTGGCTACACCCACTGCTCCAAGGTCTTTCGTCAGGCTACACCACTCCTAGGTCTTTCGTCAGGCTACACCCACTTATCCTAGGTTTTTCGTCAGGCCAACCCACTCCTCCTAAGTCTTTCGTCAGGCTACATCCACTTCTCCTAGATCTTTCGTCAGGCTACACCCACTTCTTCTAGGTCTTTCATCAGGCTACACCCACTCCTCCTAGGTCTTTCGTCAGGCTACACCCACTTCTCCTAGGTTTTTCATCAGGCTACACCCACTCCTCCTAGGTCTTTCGTCAGGCTACACCCACTTCTCCTAGGTCCTTAGTCATGCTACACCCTCTACTTCTATGGCTTTGGTCATGCTGCATCCACTGTGGCAGTTTGTCAGGCTACACCCACTTCTCCTAGGTCCTTCGTCAGGCTACACTACTTCTCCTAGGTCCTCAGTCAGGCTACACCCTCTACTTCTATGGCTTTGGTCATGCTACATCCACTGTGGCAGTTTGTCAGGCTGCATCCACTACATCTACGGCTTTCATACTGCAGCTCCAACTACTAGTATGAATCGTTCAGTCTCTGGAATATATTCTTGCTCGACGCAGCGGTGCACTCACCTTATAAGTTTGTCTGACTGCATCCACCTCCGCGGCGGTGTCACTGGCCGTGTGTTGGATGACGTTATCGTCTTCGATCGAGAGGTCGGATGTGGAAGCTGCCACGCACTCTGCCACGCCTCGTAAATTCTCCACAGTCCTGAAAAATTTATTGTCAAACTTCTGTTCTAAAATGGAAAAAAGTAAACATTGTTACGGTGATACAAAATTGAGGTAATTGAAATTGCTGTGATGGAGATTGCAGAACTTACAGGTAAAAACTATGGCCGGTCATTCTTGACAGGAAAAGCAAAACTGTGCTTCAGATGATGATCAAGATGATATCTAGTTCTTCAGATGATCTGCATATTCTGCTTTGATTTTAATTCCCACATCAACTTAAATTTATGAGACCTGTGTTACTTGCTCGATATCACCTGCTGTGATAAGGTCGTGGCAAAACAATGCAATTGGTATTGCTTAACATAAATATGGCTCAACATTGCATTAAAAATAATTTTGCGGTCATTATGTTCTACAATATTTTTTCCCCTATTATTGATTCAGGAAAAGCTTTTCGTGCAGAATAAAATTATTGTCTCAAATTATAACCCAAAAATAGGCATCAAGAGATTTGTGTTCATTGTACCGATTTGTGTTGGATGTTGGGAAATATGTCATCCGTTGTTAAAAATTTATTCATTTTTCGTGCAGAATGGTGTTGCCGTCTTAATCATGAAAGTATTAGTGAGAGGTTCAAAAAAGTTTAGTAATAATAGTCTCAAATAACCGCCCGAAAGTGAGGTTCAAGAGAACGTCCAACAACCTACCGATTGGTACACGACGTTGGAATACCAGTCGGCCATGGCTTGACTTTAATTCTGTGCCTTTCGTGGAGAATAGAATTTTACAAAATTGAACGTAACGAGAAGGCATAATAAATGTACCTATTAGTGTACGACGTTGGAGTAACCAGTCGGCCATGGCTGTCCCAGGACAGTCCCACGGAGTCGAAGGCTCGGAGCATCTCTCTTGCGATTCGAACACCGATACCGCCGTACAACATAGCCCTGCGTATCAAATATTAAGCATTTATACATATTACCAAACTTGAAATTCATTCGATCATTCAGTTTACAAAATTGTTGCTTGTATCATTCTACAGCGATTCTAAATCCTACGCTAAAACCGAGAAATTTTGCTGCAAGATTCTGAAAATTTCAGTAATGATCAACGCTAAAATTGAGATTCACTTTTGCGTGCAAGACAATATAATTTCAGTCATGCAAAACCACGAATAATAAATTGAATCGATTAAAATATAACGAAATATTATTTTGGAATTGCGACTACATGGGTAACGAATCATGCAGTTAATTTTATGGTGGAATGGGAGTATATTAAGAAATCGTTGCGGCGTACTATCATTAGAATGATAATAAAATTTCCGAAAATTAATTTTATTCTTTAATGGATCCGGCATATATGATAATGAATTGATAATAGTATAATATATGATAAGGAAATAATAATGTGCTCACGCCGGGTAGTTGGGATGAAAATAGGGTGGGTTAAGCCAGTGTGGAGGGATGACAATTCGGTTGGAGGGGTGAACGTAAGCGATGTTGTCGCCAGCCAGAGCTGCCATCCACGGCTTCTCAGTCTCTGGTTCCAGAAGCTGCTTCTCCATGTGACGCCGTCCGTTCAGAATCGAGTCCTGCAATGAAAATAAATATTATATCTTTTGATTTGGTGATGAAAATTTCTAACTTTGGCTCCTCAAAGAGTTAGTAAAAAGTGCTGTATGGTATGAAAACCATTTAATTTCATGCCCTGCAATAAAAATAAACTATTATTTCTTTGGACCTGGTGATTGAATTTCTAACTTTGATTTCTCGAAGAATTAATAAAAAGCTATTTATATGATAAAAACACTTAATTTCATGCTGTTTTGGGTCCTGTTTTGATGTTTGAATTAGGTAGCTTCGATCGATGGCTGTTTGGTAATTAGCACAAGCTGTTATTTGTAATTACACATTTGCTTCGGTAATTAGTTGATAAAAGTTAACACGGTTTCATTTTATCATTTAATAATATTTTCCAGGAAATGAAGATCAGGTTTCAACGCTTTTGAGTAAAAAGGTTTCAAAAATGAAAATAAATGTTTAATTTTTTCAGGGAAACGCTAGCCTAATAGTTTAAATGAAGAATGAATTGCTGTATTACCAACTTCTATTTTAGCCTTCAATATTAGATAGTGGCTTTCAGCAATGCAACTGGAAAATATTATTCAAACAAATTGCTCAACGTGGCTAGAAATCGTTAATTATGCAAAATTCGAAATTTACTCATCTATTTGAATCCAAAGATCATTTTCGATCAGAAGGTTCACCAGAGAAACAAAATTATCCTGGAAAATTAATTAATGATCATCGATTATTGAAAGCTTTGATGGTAGACTTACTCTGAGATTTTTGAAGAAGTCTTTGGTGAAGATTGTGAAGTCTTTATAATGTTCATCGATAACCCGGCGATCCAACAGAGAGTCTGGGTAGCCAACCGTGATGCTCATGTTCGATAACTGCACATGTATTATGATTTATAACCTACGATCTTGCACAAACAAGACAAGAAGTTACGCTAATATTCGACAATTGCACAATTATAACGATTAATAACTTACGATCTTACACAAACAAGACAAGAAGTTACGCTAATAATCGATAACTGCACAATTAAAACGATTAATAACTTACGATCTTGCACAAACAAGACAAGAAGTTACGATAATATTCGACATATGCACAATTGCAACGATTTATAACTTACGATTTTACACATACGAGGCAGAAATTATGTTCATATCAGAAAGGCGTGGCAAACTGGTGAAATAATAACTAGTTTAATAATAAATAATAATAACGAATTAACTAATTAAAATGCCATTACAAGGAACGTGACTCTTGCTCGATGTCGTAATTAAGTGGATAAAAGACAAATAATGTATGGAGGTAGAAAGAATGCAAAATATTGAATATATAAGGTAATATTTGAAAACATTTTTGCTAGACATTTGACTGAAATAAAATTGAAATATTATTTGGTTTCACCTTGGCGCTGAGTCTTGCTTTGGTCTCCATGGGATACCATCGGCTGTGGGCGAGGCTGATCGTTAAAGTCCGACGAATCTGATTAAATATTTTCGTGACCTGCAAAATTGATAGAGTAAAATGCCGGTATTCTAATTGCATGTTCATGGATATTCGCAAAAAAATTACATGTAATGCAGAAAAACCTACGGTGTTGTGCAATTAGACGCGAATTTTGAGAATTCAAGATAATGCGCATCAAAGGAAGATCGATTATTTTGCTGAAGGCTGCATTTGCGTATTTCTGAATCATAATGGATATGTTAGAAATTTCTAATTTGAAGTCGCCAATTAGACTTATCAGCAAAAACATCCGCTTAGATTTATCGCCATAAACATACGCTAGAATATTTTTTAAAATAAATAAGAAAAAATAAGAAATTTCACCGTTTCAATAGTAGGGTCCCTGTTTTTCATCCTCGCAGGCGTTCTCTCGTACAGAGAACCTAAACCGTAGCTGAAAAATTGTGATGTGGACTGGATGCAAAACTCCCATCGTTCCAGAGGCCGTTGAGCACCTGCAATAGTAAAGATAGTTTGATAGTTAAGGTGTAGTTAAAATAACTAGGATTATTTTTATTATGGAGTAAAAACGTTGAAATTGATATTTAACGTGAAGGCATAATTAAAAGTTACCTATAAGCTTGAGATATGTTAACAGAGATGTGACTATAGTGAATGGACAACGCTTATATTATCAAAAAGAGAGCATTAAAAAATGCTAAACTTCAGGAGTTTTAGTGTTAAAAACAAGATGATACGTTTTTTCTTAGGCATTAGTTTAAATTATATCGAAGCCAATCGTATATGAATTATAGAATCATATGATATTTTTTATCTTTATCACAGGTAATGTGATAATTTCTTGAGATTGAGATCTCGAGATGTAAAAATTTCTATATTGAGATCTCGATCTATATTGAGATCTCGAGATCTCTATATTGAGATCTCGAGATGTAAAGAAGGTTACTGCAATAAGGCACCTGAATATTTAAATACGATGTAAATTAAATAAGAAATTTTCGTATATTGATAAAAATTAGTATATACTAGCATATTATAATTGAACTTTAATTATTATTAATAACATATATATTGATAAATAAGCAATTACATTTGTCACAACTACATCACTAACCTGTAAATTCTCTGCTGTAAAGATCCAAAACCCTTTTGTCTTTGTCAGGCAAATAAGGCAGATAATACGAGACGAAGTTGAAAATCAGGTATGTGTTCAGCTGCCTGTAGAACAAAAGAAGACTTTAAAAGCTTTAAGAACAAACCAATAACGAAAAGTTCCACCATATAGTTATTTCAGTCATTTAAAATGTTGAGTTCACACTTTGGTAAAGTCAAACATACCGAACCTTTTTCGTTTTCGGATTTTCATGAGCGATTAAATTTGTGAGAATTCAATTTTGCACCTCTAATTATGAAGAACGAGAAAATGATCATAAACAAGCATCATTTGGTGCTGAGTATGAAATATTACGCAAAATGTTAAAATAACTGCTTAACCTATCATTAATAAATATAATCATAATAGTGACTAATCATCTAAATAATTTAGGATTGATATGCCTACCATAAAAATAATTTACTTTATTTATATAAATAAGTTAAAGGCTATGAGATTTTACAAAGGTTAATTTAGAATTTGTTGAGAATAATGTCAGTTTCTTGAAAATTGTGGGAAATAAATAAGAGTTTAAAAAATCCAAAATGAATATCAAAAACATTTAATTCCGTTGCATATATAATCTGAAAAAACGTGAATTATTAAAGTGAATATGAAAATTGGAAATGAAATCTAAGGAATCATGAATATCATTTTTGAATAACCTTATCATGAATCTCGTCATCATTTTCCTGGGCATCGTCTGCCATATGATTTACATGCATTTTTGTACGACTGCAGTAAAAATGTGCATTGGTATAAATATCGAAGATTGAAATAACTTCGTGTTCTTGGAGCAATGAAATCTGAATGTTGCTGCAATACACTATCTACAAAGCATATTGATTAACCACTCGTGAAGCATACACGAATGGTTAATGACCAGAGAAATCATGGAGTTACATTTTCAGGTTCGAACAATATTCTTCAGATGATGTTGGTTGATCAAAAAAATGCAGGTTCAACGAAGAAATTTAATTTATTAACGACGTTTCGAATGTGAGAACATTAATTTTCATATTATAAGAAGCATTGAATACCTAAATTTAGGCGGAAATAAACAAGGAAATGTGTTTAAGCAAGCTTGTTCTGCTATCGTACACTGCTAGTAAAATTACCGTTAACGGTATTACCGGCGTTTCAGTGGCCGGTCGGCACGTGAAAAGAAACACCGTGTCGCCATTTTTATTCTAACTTAACACTAGAAATCCGTAAAACATCTGATAAAACTGGCGAAATGGTTTATTTTCACGGGGCGACCGGCCACTAGAACGCCAGTGGGTCGCCAGAACACTAGAACGTTTTTTTCACCGTTTTTTCCAACAGAGTATCCTAAAAGCATATTGTGTGAATAAATTGCAAGACCTGCGGTCAGTGGTAGAGATCAGCTTGGAGAGATCGGAGAAATACTCATGTGATACAACGAGAACTTCGGTCCTGTGGTCCAGTTTGCTGCTGGGGAACACGTTCCTTAGAAGGTCCAGCCATGGTATCTGAAAAATTGTTACATTTTAATTTCAAATAATTAAAAAACGGAAATTAATGGAAATGAATTAGTTAAAAACTGAAATTATTTAGTTAATTTCCTAATTGGTAGCTGAACTATTGTGTTATGTTAATTTCAAGTGAAGATAATAGGAGTATTAAATATGTAATTCCCTATTTATATAAATGGCGGTGAAGTGAGTTGTCTGTATTAAGTTTTGATGGATAAAAGAAATTTCATTTCTAAACGTGAAAAAGGCTGTGAGTGAGCGGTTTTCTCTTTAGTAATAGGTTTCAGTTATCATACAGCGTAGATGAGCGAATCTAGAACTAAAGATTTTATGAAATGGAATAAAAATGAACAATGAACTGCCATCAGAATATTTGTAGTGAAAGTAATTTTGCACATGTACTGAGCCGCAGGCTTAATACTGCAGGAAAATTTGTACATTAGATTACTTTGAATAATTCTCTATTTTTTTCCTGATGAATCGACGAAAATTTCCTCTTAGCATAATTGTTAAATTTCCACTTTCAATGGATATACAGATATTTTGCCGAGACTCACGCTGGATGACATCATGCCGAGCACTCCAATGTTGATCTTAAGGTTAGACGCTATAGGGTCATCGAGATGGGACTGAGGTGGAGTTATTTCTGCAATGCGGCTCTCATAGTAGTATAAATGTGAGGCAAACTCCAGGGCATCAGGTCCGCTGGCTTCAAACATCTTGGCTGTATCCTTCGCGTATTGTTTGAATGCTTTCTCCAACTGAAAAATTAGGGATCGTATTGAATGTAATTAGAGCACCATTTATGATAATTGTAAATCACTGAGTGACGCCATGTGAAATATGATAAGTAGAAGTTTTCGTGTAATGAATAATCGGAACGTGGGGGATTGATGATTGATGGAGATAAAACTTACATGAACATTATAATAGCGAAAAATATTTTCATGCAACATGAACAAGAATATATTATGCAAGAATATAATTATGCTCTAATTATATAATTATTATACAGTTTAAAAACGCATACAGTTTAATGTCAACCTGACCGAGGTCGGTTGGGAAGGTACTTAAATTTGAGTAGTAAATACCGCGGACTTTAACGTTCATCCACATATGGATTCATAGGAGACCTACTATTTATCTGAAAAATTTATGCTCTTTGAACATATTTTTACCATAAATTTTTATGAAAAAAGTAAAATATACAACAAATATGTCAGTTTATATAGGAAGACATTATTGAATGAGGAATATTCCGGGATTCAAGCATGCCGAATTCTGAAACTTTATTTATAAATAAAATAAATTCAAGAGTATTTTCGCGTAGTGAACTGGAATCATGCAATTAGAATCGTTATCGTATGCAATATTACCAGATATTTGATAAAAACTCATATGCTTGCATACAGCCAACCGTAGATGAGGGTTTTCAGGTTATATGCAACTTGTTTTTAAATTAATGATTTACAAAAAGGATTTAGTTAATGGCGAACATGTATTTGTAAAATCCTTCGAAAAAAACATTTAAAGAATTTTAATGAACTGAAAATACATCAGTTTGGTCGTACAATAAAAAATTTGCAAAAATAAAAGTTAAACTGGACGTTTTTCCTTTATTCAAAGCAGAATCACCAGATCATCTCCGAAACTAAAAATTGAATAAAGCTGTGAAATCCATACAAAAAAATTCATAAATATCCTTATTGTGTGAAATATTTAATTTTTTTCAATCAAACGAAATTTTAGGACACTACTAACGTCTGTATCTTTTGATAAAAAAATTTTAATGCACTGACATACAATATCCAAGCTTGAATTTCAAAAATGTGTGCATAGATTTAAAATATCTATGCATATATTTAGGATATTCTGAAACTTATTTATAATATCCATGCATAAAGTTCACATATCTGCGCCTACATTTCAATTTCCCATGCAGGGATTTAAAATTCCCTTGCACCGAGCTTAAATATCCAAGCATGGATTTCAGATTAACTGGAATGGAACTCAAATATTTAAACACTGATTACAAGTATCCATAAATTGATAAAAAATATCCATGCATTAAACATTTTCATGGATGAAGACAGGAAGAGAGTAGAGAACAAAAATTATAATTTAAAAGAAGAATAGCGCAAAGTTTTGGGGTGCTCTACACAATCATTATTTATCTTTAGGTCATGGACAAGAAATTATATAATAATTAACACTAAGATATAAAGATGTAAAAATATTAAGCGGGGTACCAGCTGCAATTATCATAATTTTCGAAATTGTTGTGAAATTGTGCGATAAGTATTACCTTACCTAAACATTTTTATTCTTTGGGAGAAGAGACACATTTAATTGTACTTAAATATCAGGTTATTGATAAGTTTTGGATTATTGAATAGCGTAAAGAATAGAATATTATTGCAAAATGACATCAAAGTGTGCAAATTTTTACAAACTGTGCCCAGGTTCGGACATCTCTGGAGCTCCATCAGCCAAGATTTTTAACATTTTTTCAAAAATTAGAATGTGACTTAGAAGAATATATATTCTCAATTAATGAGTTTAGATATACCTGAATATTGAACTTTATTAAAAAAATTCTTCAATGATGTCGACGTAAAGAAGATTACAATATCAGGTGAAGCTGGTTGGTAATAGAAATATTTTGCGCTACATATGCTTCTGAACTGTAAATTTGTGAAGACACACATTGACGTTGTTATTTTTTAACGTAATCATGAATTTCTATTTAATAAAATAAATAGAAAATTACATAAATAAATTAGAAGATTCTACTTTTATGATTTGTAAATTCGTCTTAGATTTTGCTGAAATTTACGGCGATGCAACTTTTATTCCATTATCAAGAAGTTCCAAAGTTTCAACTAAATATGTTTGTATTGATAATTATGTTGCTTGTTTTTTGCGCGCGAAAATTTGCAGTGAGTATAGCTTATGGTCGGTTATACGCTTCCCAACCATTTCAAAGCGATAAATGTCTTTTATAAATCAAAGCTTAAGCTAAATTCTGAAGCGTGAAAAGAGGATCTAGGTAAAGTCAAGGAAATTTAATGCCGGAATTAAACTATTATTATTACGCTCGAGTAGATGATTTCGTGCCGCGCTCGAGCTCAAGAAATGTCCGTACGATACACAGAGAGCGACATCAAAACGACCAATAAGGTTTACGTTGTTTTGGAACAATTGTTTCTGCAGATCGCGTAGAACTCTTAGCTCGTCGTAGTCGATGCAGTGGCGGTCACCATACGCCACATCTCGCGGCAACCGCATGCGCCAAAACTTAACACCAAAACAAATTTATGAACTAAATAACGAGGCAGGTTTTTTAAGTGAGGCCCGTTTTGGAATTAAAAAAAGGCGTGCAAAGATATCGCAATTATTTTATTTTTACATGAAAGCTGAAATTCTGCCGCCTAACTTCTGCCGCCTGAATTCTGCCGCCTGAATTCTGCCGCCTAAAGAAATTTCAGGCGTTTTTCAGCAGAATTTCCCCTCCATTTCAGCAGAATTCAGAATTTCACCAGAATTTCACCTCCAAGTCAGGCGGCAGAATTTCATCAGTAAGGCATTCAAAAACTGGTGCCACTTTATGACAAGTGCCCAATATTGACCGAAAATTACATATGTAGAAAAGTAGATTAAGGTACAGGCTTTCATATAAAAATAAAATTATTGCGATATCATTGCACGTCTTTTTTTAATTCCAAAACGGACCTTACTTAAAAAACATGCCTCGTATATATAGCGTTAAACGAGCCGTTTTACTTCCCGTTTTATCTTTGCAACCAATATTATTTTGAATCGAAATTAAATTTGGAATTGGGGTAACACAAAATGAAATGAATTACATTTGGTTAAGGTTAGAAGTAAGCTTAGTAACTACCGTGTAGTTTAAGTCTAGTTAACAATAAATGATAAACTTTTGAATTAGAAATTTTCGATCGAATTAATTGATCGCCCATTACGGTGATTGCTAATAAATTATATATTGATAACCATCAACTACTTTCACAAGCTCAACAAGGTCTCTTCGCACTTTAATTTAAAAAAAAGTGAATAAGGACATTAAGCGATTGGTACAGAAATCAATAATTAAGTCAAAATGTTGTCAGCAAGATTGGAAAAAAGATGGCCTTGCTTTCACGCCATTTTAATTTTTTTCTTAATAATTTGAAAATAAGTTTAACAGTAACTATAAACAATCATCGTCATTCCCAGTACTAATATTTATTTCATTTTCTCGGAGAAGCTGGAGAGATTCGCTTCAAGTTTACGTCAAGGGAGACTAAGGTATGGTTTATACCATGCTTCTATGCTACCAACTCAGTTTAGAATAATTTTTATCGTCAATAATTTTTATTGAAACTGGGCATGCTTGGCATTCTATCATTCCAGTAAGACTCAAATCCTGCAAGCGTCGAATTTATCCTTATGATTCAAATCACGTGCAATATATTGTCAAACGATAGCAAACTTTCCCAAGAAAACACAATGAATTATAAATTATTTGACAATTCAAAATTTGTCGCTGAGCGCAATCATCATTTTTAAAACAGATCTAAATTTCACAAAGCCATGCTTTTCATTTTAAAACAAGCAAAATAGCAACACACATTGACGGAATCTGATGGCTGACTAATCAGTCTATTCAACCACCTCTAAAAATCATTTTATTACATTAAAAAAATGATTAAAAGCAGGATTATTTTTTTAGTTTGCGCTGTCAATTTGCGCCAAATTTAAGGAAGCACAAAAATATGGTATTAGGTACTTAATCAAGAATTTAAAGTTATTTAAGATAGAAATGGGCAAAAATATTGGAAGGCACTTGTAAAAAGTAAAATTTCCAAGTCAAAATTAGAAATTTTATACAAAAAAATTTCGGAGTCACTCGGATGCCGCTTGTAGAGTGAAATAAAATAGTTGGGAAGAAAAATACATGCAAGTTGAATTGACTCGAACAAAATTCGAGAAATTTTTTATTTTTTAGCAAAAAATTTAAAAGAATCTTTCACGTATACTGTAGAAACTCATCTCATTTACTAATGATTTAAAAAAAGAAACTGCGTGAGTATAGAATGGTCGCTTAAATATTCTAAATAACTTACGTCGTTATTAGGAAGACGATCATAGTAGCTGCGGTGAGGCATCGAAAAGCCCGAAGGCACCAACTGCACAACGAAAATTATGTCAATATTTGATATTGACGTAATAATATTTATATTAAATATTAACGTAACAATATTTAATATTTAATTCAGACAGTAATGAAATAATTTTGTAATAAGTATAAAATAGCATTGGTGACAAAGATGTCTAAGATAACATGGATGACAACGACGGTAAGGTGAAAAGGGTGACAGGGATGCCAAGGATTACTAGATTGACATATATGAGAAAGATGCTTAGAATGACAAAGTTTGAAAGGAAAATCTGATAAAAAAGCACATAGGAAAGAAAGTGCTGCTCGTTTGCCACCAAGTTTCAGACATTGGACATGAAACCATCGAGTTGATGGGGGTTAAGGCGTTAATAATTTGATGAGCCGACGTTAATCGCACGATGTATGAGTTTAATTAATCATAATTTCGTTAATAGTAAAAATAATATTAATCATAATGTCGTTAATAGTAAAAATAATATTAATCATAATGTCGGTAATAGTAAAAAAAATATTAATCATAATGTCGTTTCGAATGTAGCAACATTCAATAATGTCGCACATTAATCATACCTTGGATGAGTTTAAACCTTACAATGTAAGGTTAATCATTAACCATTCACGAGTGTTTACCCTACAATTATTGGGGGCGTATAATACGTGTGTAGCAAGAGGTTTCTTGTAATTGTACTTAATTCGACGTGTTTCGATTGCAGTTTACAATATGAAATTGAAATTTTGACTAATTGAAATAATATTTGAATGTGGCAAGCATATATTCGAACTTCAAAATTCATGTTATTGGGAAATAACACACCTATTATTTATATATAGTTAGCCACATGAATTTTCAAGCTACAATTCTTAACAAATTATTACGATGTTCCATTTTATTCCACAAAATTTGAACAAGATCATTTTCGAATTCTAAAACTTACTAATAAAAATTTAAAAAAATCAATCGACTGCTGAGCTCAATTATAATTTATTCACTCAGTAATTAGCGATTGCATCCAAAACTCGACATTGTTTCGTCAGCAAAATCTTAATAAATCTCTATTCGTAAACTTTCATCTTTATGCGTTTACCTATCAAAGACCTCAAATTTATCAATCATAACACTTTTCATGAAATAAAGACAAAATTCAATCACATCAATATGCCATACAATTAATATATTATAAGTGAATAATATATTAATACAAAAGAGGCTTCACCAACCGACCTTAATGATGTTCTTGCCCTCGTTGTAAGGGTCAGGCACCACAGTGATGCGTATATATAACAACCAACCTTAATGATGTTCTTGCCCTCATTGTAAGGGTCAGGCACCACAGTGATGCGTATATATAACAACCAACCTTAATGATGTTCTTGCCCTCATTGTAAGGGTCGGGCACCACAGTGATGCGGAAATACGGAGACACTCCGAACTCGGCGTGTAGTTTGGTGAGCACGACATCGAAGTCCCAGCGCCGGAGGTCCCACGTGTCCCGTAGAAGGTACCAGCCATCTGAAATGCAGAGTTTCTTTAGAACAATTTAGTATTAAGTTTACTGTATTCTTTTTCAAAAAGCAAATTTTCAGTTAGAAATGGGCAGTCAAAATTGTTATATGTTAAAATTTGCATTAATCATTGAATTTTCATATTTTTAGCGCATTTTCTCATTTATGGAACAAATGCACTATTGTGCTCGCCATGTCCGTCTGTCTGTCTGTCCGTCCGTCCGTCCGTGACCTCAAGTTTTCGTCGACGAGAAAATGCGCTCTCTGTCACTCACTGCAGTGAGTACTGAGTTATATTTTTTATATATTGGAAACGTGTTAAACAAACACACTCGAGTCTTTAACTCCTAGGCAATTCAATTGCAACCTCAAGCATTCAAACAACGCAAATCGTTTTTGAGGATGAAGTAAGAGTTATTAATTCTTATTAAAATTTGCTACACTCTTAAATTACTAAATGTAGGGAATAGTCTAGCTCTTAACTCTAAATACTTTAAGAATGGCTCAAATTTTCCACCTTAAGTAATTCCAGTTCTCAGTATCTCACACTCCACGACTCGTCTAGCTCGCAAGGCTCAAAATGAGATGCCTTTATCCCCGCCTTTAGCCCTGCGTTGAAGTCAATAAATCACAGCTCTTAAGCTTTCCCCAAGCTTTTTTTACTCGAATTAAAATGGCTGCCAAAAAACAGGAAAACTCGACTGATGGCTCTTTTGAAAAGCGGCTGAAGCGACCTGAGAAAACGCGACAATATGGCGGGTGCGGTGGGCAAAACATCGCTTAAAAACCGCCAGGCTTTCGGTAAAAATTACTAAAATGTAATTGATAGCGAAACAAAAATTGAATAACATTGGCGTTGAAAGCTTTTGAATATTTGCCATTTCTATTTTCTAGTAACTTCATAAACATTTTAACTGATTAAATAATCAATTCGCATAGTTTCAAAAAATAAATTCAAATATTTGGAAAATGTGCTGTAAGAAAAAGACATGTAATAAAACTGCGGCAAAAACGGGGATACAAATATTCCAACTTCGTTGTAGGCTAGTCTAAAATGTCAGCAGCGTCGAAACTATAAAAACAGGACGAAAAAGCAGAAATCCTAAGTATAAGGTACGTACTCCTCAACTAAATATTGGAATCTCAATAGAATTTGGGTTTAAAATTTTGATTGTAAAAAATTTAAGGCATGGTAAGATTGTAAGACTTGAACCAAACGAAAGAATCTTGATCACATGAAAAACTGAAAAATTGTTTAGCTAAGAAATTTATTTTTGAAACCCTTGGCATTTATAACTGCACAAAATGCGACGATTTTTTCCACAATTGCTCTAAAAAGAGAAAATTAAAAGTGGATAAAATCATAATCATTATGGGAGATTGATAAATTGGGATGAAAATTTCGGTAACTAGGATAAAAAAATGCATTTGGAATTGTGATTTTAGAACTTTTTTAACTGAGGAAATGTAAATAAAATGAGGCCAAAAGAATTTAACCAGGAAATTGGCGGCTGAAGGTCTTTTACGGAGCGATCTTTTGTACGGCCTGCAGAGCGAATCCGACAGTAACTGATAGCTGTCTTTATCGACGCTTTCACGACTGCTCAGCAAATGTAACTATCTCTAGTAACCTTTCTTTAGGGAATGTAACTATCTTTAGTAACCTTTCTTAAAGGATGTAACTACCTCTAGTAACCTTTCTTTAAAGAATGTAACTATATCTAGTAACCTTTCTTTAAAGAATGTAACTACTTCTAGTAACCTTTCTTTAAAGAATGTAACTATCTCTAGTAACCTTTCTTTAAAGAATGTAACTACCACTAGTAACCTTTCTTGAAATAATGTAACTGTCTCAAGCAACCTTTCTTTAGGGAATGTAACTATCTCAAGTAACCTTTCTTTAAAGAATGTAATTATATCCAGTAAACTTTCTTTAAAGAATGTAACTATCTCGTGTAACATTTACTTTATTAAATAATCCTCCGTACCATCTACTGGTTTTACTGTTCAGACGAAATATTGACTCATTTCAAAACTAGCTGTATTCTCGTATGTGATGCAGAAAAACTTCATATTGTGAAATTCGATTTATTTCACGAGGCATATAAATTGTATGTAGTCATAATCCGTGCTGCATGATTTCTATGACTGTCTAAAATTCATACAAACCGAAACAGAAATGCGTTAATGCGGTAATGCATCATTTTTCTGTATTTTCCATTTAACGCACTTAACGCATGTTCAAGTTAAGCCAAACACCGCCTTTGCATTATTCGAGAATTAAATTTCTCCTGTAATAATTTATTCGATTGAATATACTATTTCTTTCAGCTCTATGCGAACGACACAAAATATTAACGCGGAGAGCCTTTCAATTCTCTTCCGTTGGTATTAATTCAGAGGTCTCAGACGGGGCATGAACCTGAATATTCAAAGATACGCGAGACCACGCAGAGGCAGCATTATTATTACAGAGACTACGCTCTTATTCAGCTCCAACTCTGGCTAAAACGCGTAAATCTCTAATGTCTTTGGCAGCTCTGTTGCACTGGCAGCTTTACGGCAGTATGGCATGAAGCTGAATATTAGTATGTAGTATACTATGGAGCATACATACTATATTATTTAGAACAATACAACATGAAACTGAATATTAGTATATAGTATATTATGGAGCATACATACTATATTATTTAAAGCAATACAGAATGAAGCTAATAAATAATTAATTACTATATGTTTATATTTTGAAGAAAGTAAACGAGGACGCATTTAGAAAACTATTAGAGCTGATATTTCCAAGTTTAGATAGATCGCCAATTTTGAAAGATGGTGGAGGTTATTTTATAAAAGGCAATTACATTCGCACCTAAAAAATATTTCAAGGATTCATTTTGCTAACGGTATTATTACGAGAATAATTCAGAATTGACCAACACAGGTATGCTGGCTGCTCAGGGATGCAGTCTTTGTGCATGGATATACGTCGCTCTAAGCTTAGAAATTTGAGCATTTGTTTCTAAATTCTGTCTAAACGTGAAATGGGGTCTTATCTGGTATAGACGCTGTGGTATCTCAGACGCTATGGTATCGTATGCGCTATGGATGTATCTTAATTAGTATTTTAAATGTATCTTAGATACCTTTAAATACTTTCACTCATTATCATGAGTCCGAAAACATTAGAGCACAATGTAATGTGGTATAAGCTAGGATACAGTTTTATGTCAGCTGCAACGAATTCTTTTGCAAAATATGACTATATATAACAAAAGGACTATATATTATTCGCTTTTTGAAACTCCTTCGCAACGCATAAATGTTATAATGTTGAATTATATTATTGTTAAAATTTTAACTTAATAATGACACTGCTGTAGGAATCCAGTGAAATTCTGACAATATGCATCGCTTCCACTGCTCTAAATGCAACACTTCTGAAGAGGCCAATATCTCTGAGTTACACATGCTTAATGAATTTCATGTTTTATTTTTAAATATAAAAAATTATCATTTTTAAATTTGTTATATATAAATTTTTTCTATTTTTAAAATTATTTGTTCTTACAATTGATTCATGCACTGTCTCCGACTTTACGCAAGTGTGCAAAGTTTCAGATCGATTGGACATGTAGAAGATCGTTAAATATCGATAAGAAGATTTGTAGCAGACAAACGACCAAAAAAACAAACAAACAACAAGAAGTGAAATTAAAGAAAAATGTTGTAATAAAAAAATAAAGAGAGTTGACAAGCTAGTCAGTCTGAACTTGGTGCAGCTGGACATTTCAGGAAGGCAGTAACTTCAATCATTTGTTTGGTTGAATAACATGCTAACCAAAAATTTAAAAGCAAAGAAAACATCCAGGTAATTCGCCAATGTGGGGAATTTACATTTTGTCCAGTTGTTGAGTTCATGAATAGAGTTAATTCATTAAATTCATGATCTTCATTGATCTGATAATGCGAAACACAAAATGAAGGTATTTAAAGTTAAAGTTTTTTTAATGCAAAAGAACAAGGTAGTTTCGACTTCTTACTGGTAAGTTCCATTCAAATCCTTAGTTAATTAGCTACAGTTTAAATAGGTTACGACATATTGAGCGAAAATTGGTAAATAATATAATAATGAATTTCTAATATTACACAGATAATTAATAGGCTAATAAGGTTTCGCAAGAATTAAAACGCAATTGTCTAGAAAACCGGGTCAAAAATTGAAAAATTTTGCTTTTTCTTTTTTTGGCTCATTTTGTAGCTGCGGATAAGGAGCGTCTAACTCAGTAAACCGCATGTATGTGCGTTCTCTAGTTTTTCCGCGAAGCAATTCCAAAAGTAGATAAAATTAATATGTCTTAACAATATGATTTTTAACAAAGTTCTGTTCAAGAAAAATAGTATTTATCGATCATTATTCGCGTTAATTAAGCTGGGTTTAAGCTTCTATTGCAGCTGCGAAATGAGCGTGTCTAACGCAGTAAACCGTATGTATGTCCGTATTTCAGGTTTTGCGTGAGGCGTCGTGATACAATTGAATGTCCCTCTCATTTTAACTAAATTTATGCGAAACGAACATTTTTAAACAAAATGTACAAAGATTACTTTGAAAAATTGAATTTACAGATCATTATTTGCGTTTATTGTGATATGTTTGGACTCATTTTGAAGCTGCAAACGAGGCGCGTTCACCGCAGCAAATTACGTTGATTTGCATGCAATACTTTTTGAGGCCGTTTTGAACTATTATAAAATGACAATTGTACTGACTTAAACGGGGAGAAATGGAAAAGTCGTATATAAAAACACAGAGCGAAAAATCGAAGAAAAGCTTTTAGAGTAGATAGATATTCTCACCACAAATCGAATGATATGTCTCTCGATGTTGTATCACGTAAATTGAAGGAGGTAGATTTATTAAGAACCCTATTTCATCCGTTTTCTATGCATTTCACATTTGCTTTCATTTTTTTTAATTCATTGGGGCAACATTTTCTTATTTTGCTCTTT